GACCTTTCATGGGAAATATTTATTTTCAGGGCCCAGGAGCCCAGGCTGGGTCGCGGGCCCAGGAGCGCAGTCAGGGGCAAGATTTATAGAAAAGGGGGAGAGGAGGTCCCCGGGCCATGGGTCGGGAAGTTTCGGTGGGAACCCCTGGCTTCCTTTGTTTGGCCGAGTTTGAACTTTCACAAGTTTATTTTGCTTTCTTCTGCGGCTTCTCTGAAAGGCCTCGGGGGCACGAGGCACCGGCAAGGTAGCCGGGGTGGGGGCCGCGGCCTGGAGGGGCCTTTGTCTGCTGGGGGGGGCGGGGGTCGCCAGTGGACGTGAGGAAACGGGGAGTGAGGAGAAGGGTCAGTCCCTGGGTGGGGGTGAGCAGAGAGCATTTGTGGCTCTGGCATTCTCTACTCCTCCCCGGAACCCTTCTCTGGTGACCTTGGGAGCAGCCTGCAGGTTCCCGGAGAGTCTGGCCTGACCCTGTGAAGCCACACGCAGCCCCTCCGACCCGCTGCCCTGCCGGAGAGGTTGCGGCCCCGGAGGAGCCTGGCCGGAGTCAGCGCCGGACGGCAGTTTGCCGCAGTCACAGGGTGAACAGGGTTCCCTCCGCTCGGCCCCTGGGGAGGTGCTGAGGCACCGGCCAGGTCCCTACTAAGTCCACAGCCTCTGGGCAGCCGTCGGGGAAGGCGCGGGGGATGGGGGGCGCTCAGGTTAGGGCTTCTGGCGGGAATTCATCCAGAGGGGGCTGGTGTGAGGGGGGAGGCCACAGTGGACAATGGGGCCAGACCCAGCCAGCTCAGAGTGCCCGATGGGACGGGGTCGGAGTCACCTCTCTGTAAGATTCTTTCTCCCCCCAAAATATTTTGTTGGCAAATGCTAGTATTTGTCTTCAAAATGAGGTTTTATTTAAAAAAAAAAAAAAAAAAAAAAACAACAAAAAAAAACCAAAAAACAAAAACCACCAAAAAACCTCTGGTTGCATCGTTTAAAAGAAAAATCCTGGAGCCTCTAAGCTGCGGTGTGTTCCGCCTTCTGCACCCCCTTCCCCCCAGCCCTCAGATGCTATGAAGTGAGTGTCTTGGTGGGGTCTGAGGCCGGGGCAGGATCAGTCAGACTGAAACGTCGTGGTATGGGACCGAGGAACCCTAAAACATAAGCTTTTTATCCCCCCCTTTTTTTTGAGGCGGGGAGGTAGTTCAAAAGTAAAACTCAGAGTTTGGAGTGGAGACCTATGTGAGTCGGGGCCAGGAGCCCGCCGTGAGGGCGGCTCAGAAACCCATGTGGACGGCCGGCGGCAGTTAATCAGCGGCCGGAGAGGCCGGGAGCCGGCCGTGACCCGGGCCGCGGCCCTCCTGTGCTCAGCGAGGCTGGCCGCTGTGGCAGGAACACGTGTGGAGCCGCCCGAGGAAAAGGGCCATTCCCCCCGGAATAGCAGGGGTCCCCTTTAGGGTTAATCAGGAATGTGGCCGCCGGTGCGGGTGCGGGGCTGGGGCTGGGTTTCCTGCAGTTCTGGGATTTCAGAGGCGGGAGGGTGTCCGGGGACCCTGCCCTGCGGCTCCGGGCTCTGTCTCCGTCAGCACCTTCGGAGCAGCCGTTGGTAATTAGTTTTCAGCGATAACAAACAGGCGCCGGGCTGCAGCCTGCGCCGTGACGGTGAGAGAAGCGGCAGCTCAGGGCCGAGGCCGCACATCCATCCGTCACCCAGACCGCCCGACTCCGAGCGCCCCGGCCATGCAGTGTGGGCCTGTGGGGACACGTGTGTCCTGTGTATGTTCGGGTCTGTGCACGGACCGCCCTGCCCTGCCCTGCCCTGCCAGGGGGAGATGGGCGGGTGGAGGGGGACTCTGTCCCAGCACCGGGAGGCACAGTCTCACCGAGAGAAAGGGACCCGCCGCTGTGCTGTGTCCTGAGCCCACGCCGGCTCTGCCTCTCCCGCCAGGGCCAGCCCGGATGGCCGCCTGGTGTGCAGGGCCCAGCGGGAACGGCGTTCCTGGCGGGGCGCGAGGCACGGGAGCCCTCCTGCTTTGTCTGCCGTCAGCTGGCAAGCGGGTCACGTGGCTGCGCGTGAGGGCAGAGTCCTCCCTCACCCTCTCCCCGCCGCTGGCACTCCGGGCACGACCGGGCATAAGGCGCATTCAGACCTTCCCCAGCGGCCTGGGCTGTCCTCCACGGACAGGAAGGCTGTGGTCTGGGGAGGCAGCCACGGTCCCTCCATGCCACCCCTCTGCCCCGCACACTGCCCCCAGCGGCCCCGCCTCGGCTCCTGGCCACGGAAGGGCCGGAGGATGGGCCCTGAGGATGCTGTTCCGGTGCCCGCGGCCGGTAAATCTCCACCAGGAGTGCCCACACTGAAACCCCAGGTCACGGACCTGCCACGGTGGCCGGTGCTGGTCTGGGTGACACGGCGGTGAGTGTCTGAGAGGCTGTGGTGACCAGCCTGGGCCCCTCTGGGCGTGGGGCCAGCCGGGGAGCCCCTGAGAGGGACCCGCTGCCCCTCAGCATCTGTGTGCATTGTTTGTGCTGCTATCACAGTGGCCGGGGCTGGAGCCCCCGCCCGGTCCTCACACAGCGGGGAAACTGAGGCGAGGAGAGGCGGGTGGCTCTCCCCGTTAGGTGGCCGATGGGACAGAAGCCAGAACCAAACTCGTGGTTGTGGGCTCCGTGGAGGCGGGGGGCTGTGGGGGGCTGGGTGCCCAGTCCCGGCAGCACCCAGCGTCGGCCCGCTGCTCTGCGGGGCGCGTGGGAACAATGCGGCCCTTATGCCGCCGCCGCCGCCGCCTGGGCTCCCGGGCAGCGGCCCCGAGGCCGCCCTAACATGGCGTGAGCCTGGCCACGGGGAGGGCCGGGCGGGCGGGCTCCCGCGTCCGCCTCGGTGGCCGCTGAGTGGCCAGACGCTGCAGCTTTCTCCTCCTGCTCCCCCCCCGCCAGCCCCCCTTTCCCGCCTCGTTTGGGGGTCCGGCTCCCCCCCCCCCCGCCTCTGCCACGTCTGCCTGTAACACCCATGAGCATCTTTCAAAATTCCCGGTGGGCGGGGCCGAGTGCAGCCTGGCGCCCTCCCCGCCGCAGCCAGTGCCAGACGAGCCAGCGAGCGAGGAGACAAAAGTAGCATTTTCTCCTCCGCTGCCAGCCAGGCTCCCAGCGCCACTCGGCTCCTGGCAGCGCGGCCTCCGGTGGCCGAGGCCCAGCCACGCCAGCCAGGACCGGGGGTGGACAGAGCCGGTGGCCAGAGACCAGGACCCCGAGGGCCGCCTGGCCGGGGCTGGCACCGGGGCACGGCCTGGCCAGCGGGACCCGTGCTCAGCTGCCGCCGTGACCAACAGGCACGGGCACGGGCACGGGCACTGCGCTCGCCTCCTCACGCTGCAGAGAGCTCGTCCCCGCGCCTGGGTAAGTCCCTCTTCCTTCTCTTTCTGGAGCCGAGCCGAGCCTCTGCCATCTTGTGTTCGTGCTGTTAGGTCCTCTCCCTCTAATTGGTCCTCCGGAATTCAAATTCTGCCCCGGACCCCCACCCCCAGCCCCGGCGAAGTCAGAGACGCAGGGGGACGCAGAGGCCGAGCCGGCTCTTCAAGCCCCAAAGCCAGGGCTCCGAGCTGACGATGAGGGAGGGGACTGCCCTGCCGGCCGGTGCTCAGTCATCTGAGCGGCCGCCTCCCTGCTCCCTCCCGGAGCTGCCTGCCGCCAGCTTGCTAATCCCCGCGGCTGGGGCGGCGGCGGCAGACCCCCGAGGCCCCGGCCCCTCCGGCCGCCCGCGGACGCGCTCGAGGTGGCCGCGCTCGGAAACAGAGGCCCTTTATGTGCCGGCATCCTCCGTGCGGCCGGCCGCAGTGCGGGGTCCCGTGCGCTCTCCCTTTTTTTTTGTTTTATTTTTTTTGAAAAAAAAAAGAAAGGAAGGAAGAAAAGAAGGCCGTTCGGGGCTCTCGGCTCAGCGGGGGCATCTGTTAGGTTTGGGGCTTTTCTCTCTGAAGCCCTCACTCCAGCACCAGCAGAGCGGGGCCCTTTGCAGCCCCAGTCTGTCCTGGTTCAGACCGCAATGCCGAGGCCGGCAGGGGTGGGATCCCTTAAGGGGCCCCCCGGGCTCGTGGAGAGCTGGGGCCGGGCCGCCTGAGTTTCTTTGTTGGTCCCTCTCCCTGAGAAGGTGGGCTCTGCCTTGTGCAACCTCCGCTCCCCTCCGCCCTCGGGCAGGCGTCCGGAGTGGACTGCAGACTCAGCCGCTCCCCACGGCTCGGGGCAGCCAGGGTCTTGGCTTACGGGAAACAGAAAGCTAGGACCAGAAAGTTCCAGACTGCAGCTCACAGGCAAACCCTCCTGTGTGTGCGTCTTTGTTTTTTTTTTCTGATTTGGAGCCGAGGGGGAGCAGCCGCCGAATGAGAACGGAGCAGCAGCCCGCACGCACAGGAGCAGGGCGGTGGCTTTGTTCTGCGGCCAGACGGCCGCCGGTGCAGGAGGAATTGAAACATCGCAGGCGGTGACAGCCTCGCCGCTCAGGGCCGCAGCGGCAGGCGCGTGCCACCCAAATATTTAGCCAGCACCCCGTGGGCCCGCAGAGGATAAAGCCAGGAAGACACAGGGCAATGCGTCTGAGAGGCAAGTGAGCGGGGACAGAGGGAGGCGTCTGGAGGGAGGGGGTGCTCACCGTGTTTAAAAGCGCGTAGACTTCTTTTCCTGGCTGCCCGCTGCTCTGCTTTTTTAAAATTGTTCTTCTCGGTGTAATTAAGGCAGGTGAGAGATTTTTAACCCTGAGTCCGGGAGGGAACGGCAGTCCCATTTCCCGAGTGCTCGCCCGTCTTCCTTTTGGACAAGGTGGGGCACGTAGCAGCACAAAATCAATTAATTCTCGTGCGGGAGCGCTTTGGGGCTCGGCAGGATTTCCCTCGGAGGCTGGGCTCTCCTCCTGGTGTTAACACACACGGAAGCCCCCCACCCGTGTCTGCCACCATCGCAGCCTTTAACCTGGGCGAGATCAGCAAACTGCACCTCATCCCCCCACCAGTAAAATTCCACAGACATTTTTTTTAATGTATCTTATTTTTGTAAATCAGGCAAAAATCTCAGCCTTCCCGGTGGCACCCAGTGCTGCTCAGCAGGGTTTTTTGCTTTTGTGTGTGGGGTTTTGTGTTTTTTTTTTTTTGTTTTTTTTTTTTAAGAAAGCGGCATGCGTAGCCGTTTCCACGTCCTCGCTTCTGTGTAAGCTCCACTGGAGTCAGAAGCTGCCCGTTCTCCCGGGGCCCCAGCCACTCCTGTCTCTGCAGGCCGAGCCGCCGGTTCTGCAGGACGGAGGTCAGAATAAACAAGTGGCCCCGCGCGGAGCGGCAGCCTGACCCGGCGACCTCCCCGCTCCCGAAAAATTCCGCAGGGGAACACGATCCCCTTCATTAAATTTTAATTTAAATTTCGGTCTTTATCCCGGCCTTCTGAGACAGCACATGACCCCGGTCAAAGGACCGTCCACGTTTTAATGAGTTACCAGCTTCTGTCTTGTTCTGCAGGGCGGGCAGCCCTCGCCCCAGATTGTGCTGCGGGTGGGATGGACAGTGGCTGTCGAGGTGTCTCACGTACAGCCTCCCGTGAGGTCATTTTGAGACTCTTATGAAAAACCCAGCTGGTTAAATATTTGGCACGGTCTAAAGGTACTTTAATACCCAAACTAAAAAAAAAAAATTAACAAAAATTCAACAGGTAAACTACAAAGAGCAGCCATAAACTTAAAATTTTTTATCTTGCCAAGATAAAGAGCAGCTTTAATGTCCCCGCTGCCACCCGGGAGGGCAGAGCAGCTTTTACAGCCGTCCTCATTTGCAAACGCCGGGGACTGTTTATTCTGTGAATTTGCTCACATTACAGTGCTGTAATCAGCGCCCAGGGTGCTCCCTCCTCCCCATCTCTAAGGGTTTGCTTCTGCATCTCTCAGTCCTGGATCCCTCTCCTGTCCCGCCCCAGCCCCCAGCCCCCGGCCCCTTCGGAGGGGGGAGGTGGCGGCAGGCAGCTGTCCGTGCCTCCAGCAGGCGGGAGGGCCTCCCGGCTGCGCCCTGCAGAGGAGGGGGCTGCGGCTGTTTTACGGGTGCTTTAAGAACTGTACCTGCTGGGGGGGAGGCCGGGAATGAAAGGAAAAGCTGATGGCGTTTGCCAGCCCCGTCGGGGAGACAACTTCCCGGGTTTTTTAAAACCCTTTGTCCTTTCCGACGGGTCCTTCAGCTTGTGGCTGCCCCTGTCTCTGCCTCTGAGTCGTATTTCTGCTCGATGCTCTGAGTCCCTCAGAGATTCAGGTCAGTCTCAGAGCGACGGGGGCTTCTCCCCCTGCCAGGGGCGCCGTGCCTCTGCTTCCTCGTCCGTGCAATGGGACGGCACGTGTCCCTGCCTCACAGGGACACGTGGTCAGCACTTAGCACATGCGTGGTCCGCACAGGGCCCCTCAGGAACGCCTGGGCATCAGGGCTGTCCTCGCCATGCTCCCGGGAGGCACCACGCTCAGGCGAGGGCTGGCACGGGGTTCGAGCTCAGGCCTGCGTCCTCCAGAGCCCGTGTCCATTCTGTGTTCACTGAGCGTGCACACGGGTGTCCACGTGGCGGCCGGATGTGGCGGCATGCCCCCTCTGCACCGTGGCCCGTGTGTGGAGCGCGTGTGCATGGACACACAGGTGTCCATCTTCGGGGCACGTGGGGAAACTTGGGTGCAAGAGAAATGGGGTGGGTTTGAGCCGTCATGGCTTCCAGAGGTGGATGGGCGCTCGGAGGCCACATGTCTGCCTGTGGGTGGACAGCCGAGCTGCTGAGGGGGAAGGAAGGGCCCTCGCCCGCCCCCTGCGCTCTGGACGCTGGCAGGCAGGGCCCTGTCCCCTCGGGGCCTGGTGGTGCCGGGCCGGCCATTTGCAGACTTGAGCGAGGCTGGGGCCCGGGAGAGGAAATGGCGGCCGGGCGGGCGGGTGGGAGCGGCCAGCGCCTGGGTGGGCAGGCCTTGTGCGTGTGTGCACGTGCGCCTACGTGCCGGGCCCCTGAGGAGGGGGAGGGGGCGCGGGGGAGTGGGACGTGGTGGTGGGGGGAGGGCGATGAGCCCGCCCGATTGCCCAGCGGCCTTGGACAGCAGGCTGATAAGAGCCACCCGCGTCACGTAGGCGCACGTCTGCACCGACACGGGGCCTCAGGGAAGGGCCCCATGACCGGGAGGCCTGCAGGGGCCTCTCTGCCTTCCCTCCCGTGGCCTCTGTTGGGGAGAGGCCTGGCTGACCGTTGACCTGCCTGCCCATCCCCACCTGGGCCCCCCCATCCCGGGAGGGAGCAGAGATTGCAGCCACGGGTCCCAGGAATTCCATGTGGCCCCGGACGGACCGTGTGGGTGGGCTGGGAGAGGGACCTCCACCTCTGGCCTCTGGAATCCTGGCCTCTGAGGCTGGGGGATGGGGTGGAGGGGGTGGGGGAGGGGATCTGGATGGGAGGGGGAGGCAGGGCTTGCAAACCCCCAGGGGGGTTGGGGGTGGGGCCACCTCTGGCCCAGTTTCCTGGGAGCCCGGCCCAGCCCCCAGATTCCTGCGATGGGTGTGCCCGGCTTCCGGTGGGGGCGTGGACGGGGAGGGCTCCAGGACTCAAAAGGCTCTTCCCGCCCTGCCCGCCGCCAGAGCCTGCTGCTGCGCACCACCTTCAACTTCAGCTCTCCACTCGCGGACGGACGAGGACTCCCTCCCCGCCATGTGCGAGGCCAGGTGAGCGGCCGCGGCGGCAGCCGGGGTGGGGGCGGCAGGGAGCGGTGTCCTCGGCTCCAGCCTTTTTTGTGCACAAATAGCGAGCTGCCCGATGCCAACTCCTGCCCAGGCCCCCGCCTGGACGACGGCCCCCGCCTGGACGACGGCCCCCGCCTGGACGACGGCCCCCGCCTGGACGACGGCCCCCGGCCGGGCCTCAGTCCCCGGTGCTCCGGCCCCCGAGGCGCGCTCTGCCCCAGAGGGAGTCGCCCTCGGCCCCGGCCCCCGGCCCCCGGCCTCCGGGCCCCTCGCGGGCGGCGGTGTGTGCCACACCGGGAAGGAGTGGCATCCAGCGGCAGCGGCGGGGAGGGGGAGTGGGCCAGCAGGGGGCCGGCCGAGGGCTGCCGTCCTTGTGGCTCTGAGGGCGGCGGCGGCGGCTGCAGCGGAGGCGGCCGCGGCGGGACCATGGACAGCGCACAGTGTGGCCGCAGGGCGGGAAGCAGGGAGGGGCTCACTGCTCTCTGTTCCCCTCGCAGGGCCCAGGCGGGAAGCTGGAGGTGGTGCCCGCTGCCCTCGGACGCTCTGCGGAGGAACCCCCAGAGGTGAGGACTCGGACCCGGGACCCTCGGAGCCTGCAGTGGAAGGGCGGGGGGGGGCGGTTAGGAAGGAAACTTCCAGATTCCCCCTGTGGTCTCTCCCCGTCTCCTGGCAGAGGCCCGCCCTCCGCCCTGGAGACGCTTATCTGGGGGAGGGCGGGGGTCTCGGCGGGAGGGGCTCCTTCAGATGGGCGGAGGAGGTGCTGGCAGCCAAGCCGGGCCAGGCTCGGCTCCTGCGAAGCCAGCCCTCCTGTCCTCACTGAGACACACAGGCTCAGGTCCCCGATCCCCGAGTTCCCTGTGCCTGAGGCGCTCTGCGCCCCCAGGAGTCTCCGGGGACCCCTCCGGGCGGGGGCGGGAGGAGATTGCAGGGCGGGCCGAGCAGACCTGTGGGGCCAGGGCCGGGGCTGCAGCGCCCGAGGCGGGACGTCCGTCTGTCCACACTCAGGGCGAACACGGGGTCCTCAAGGAGGCCCTGGCCAAGATGGCGCCGGCAGGGCTGGGCCAGCACGTGGGGAGCAGACATGTAGCCCGGAGCAGTCCGGCCCGGGGAGCTTCCTGGGGGGTGGCCCCTCCTGCACCAGCCCCAGGCCTGCCACGTCCCAGCCAGGGCGGCACCGCCCCTCCCCCTCCCCCTCCCCCCCACCCCCACGCCAGCCCCGCACAGGCCACATCTGCTGGCCTCCAGCCCGTCCCCATGGAAACCGGGGGCCCCCTGCTGCCGCGGCCGCGGCCTGGCTTCCCTCGTTGCCAGCGCTTTCCCTGAGCCCTGCCCCCGAGTTCGAGGCTCCCCCAGGGTCTCCCTCGGCCGAGCAGCAGCCTGAACTCGCCCTCCCGGGCCGGGCCCTCCCAGCTCCGGGCTCCGGCCAGCGGGCCTTTCCCGCCCGCCAGCAGCTGGACAGAGGCAGGGCCGGCCTACAGCCCGCTGCTCTCCGCCTCGGTTTACGGACCGTAAGGCGAGGGGGAGAGGAGGGAGACGGAGGATGAGGAGCTGGGTCCTCAGCTCGGGGTCTTGGTGAGGGGAGGAGGCCTAGGATTTGGCCAGAGAGGGTGGCTGGTGAGCCGAGTCGGTCAGAGTGTGCAGACCCACAGCTCGGCTGTGGGCAGCGGTGCCCACCAGGCTCTGCTGGGCGTCTGTCGGTGCCCAGTGCCGCTCTGGCGGCATGTGCCCGTGAGGACCCACGGGGGCCCCCGAGGCGGGAGAGCGGGCAGAACAGGACGCCCCGCGGTGGGCCCCCCTCCCCCCACCGCCCGGGGCCTGGGCGGCCGCTGTCCATGCGGGCAGCAGCCCACCCCCAGCCTGGCCCCACCCCTCAGCGAGGGCCTGGCCTTGGGGACGTAAGTCCCACCCGCCCGGGGCCCTTCGGCTCCTCCCCCTGCAAGCTCTGCTCCCGCTGGCTGATTGCGAAACCTCCCAGATGCCACGGCGCCGCCCCACCCTGGCTCCCGCTCAGACCGCCTCATGGCGCCAGGAGCGGCCCCACGTGGCCAGGCAGGCGGCTCTCCTCTGGGCCTCAGTCTCCTCATCTGAGAAGTGGGGCCGTCACCCGGGTGTGTGGGAACTAGGGGGGCAGCCGTCCCCCCTGGGCTCCGCAGCCCAGGCGGAGAGGAGAGGCAGCGAAGGGCCGGCACTCGGCCCCGCAGCCCCGCGGAGCGGTGAGGGCGCCTGCAGTTCTCTGTCCGGTCCGGAGAGGCCTGGGGGGGGCGAGCCTTCACCTCCGGCGCCCACCACCCTGCACCCAGCCCCCCCAGCTGGCAGGGAGCCGGAGGAGCGGGCGGCGCGGCTGATGGAGACGTCGGGAGCGGATAAAGCAGGAAATGAAGGGATTTCCCAGGGGCAGAGCATTACACTGGCGGTGATTGATGGCCAGCCGGCTCCTCGGCTCCTCCGCCGCCGACGCCTCAGCCCCCAGTCCTGCCGCCCCGGCTGGCCCGGGCGGCTCCGGGGACGTTCGGTGAGTGAGGGGAGGCTGAGAGAGGACTGCTTTAGCAATGACAGGACCTTTCCTCCACAGAGCGCAGCCCGGCTGCCAGGCCAGCACCGCCTGC